GTGTTCTGTTGGAGCCCACGTGGCTCACCTCCTCTGAGCTGGGAGAGGTGGGACAGTGGCTCAGAAGCCCCTTTCTCTGGGCCAGGATCAGTGGGATGGTAGCTCAGAATCCCCTACCTCTGGGCCAGGAGCGTTGGGACGGACCTGGCCCTGGAAGCCCCTTCCTCTGGGCTGGGAGCGGCGGGACAGCAGAGAGTAATATTTAAAGTAGGTTAACTTTCAGCTAGATTTTCTCCACCTTTTCTACTGTATGTACTTAAACAGAAACTTCTAGGAGAAGTTGTGGATACCGTAACCTTCAGATTTAGATAATCTTGTGTTAACTTAATACATTGCGAAGACTGGAGATGAGTTCAGGTCTCGTATTTGTGCAATAGTGATGCTTTAAGATATTACTGGAAGCCAAGAATTTTATATATTTTAATATAGGCATTTCTTTTACAAGTTTCAACTTACCAGGCTATGTTAAAATACAAAAATGTTCTCAGTGTTGGACATACAAAGGAGGAGGCTTAGGGAACCCCAGGTATGGGCTTTGCTGTGACCAGTAGATATCTGTGGCACTTACAGGGAGAAATAGCACAAATACATGAAATGTGCCTTTGACACTATGCGTGACATGAGAAAAGAAAATTTTCATGTGTGCTGATGTTCATACTACCCAGAAAAATCAGCCATGAATAATGGAATTAATTGTGATAGAAGAGCAGTATTATCAGGAAGGTTTTAAAAGTTATATCAAAGCTTTTACAAAATAATTCTAACTCTGAAATGTAAAGTAAAATAGCATTTTTTGTGAAATTCCTTTTTTATGTTTTTATGTTTTCAAACAAGTTTAGTGATAATAAATTTACTTTTGCAAGAATCAATAAACTTTGAAGAGTTAAGTATTCATTCAAAAGATTAGTTTAGACTACTGGTGCATTCTGTCCATACTACAAATCTTGAGTAAACTTTCTTTAGTAGCAGTAGTCTCAGAAATACTTCTTTTCTCTCTCAGGAAAAAATGAAACACTTTTGTTCTCATCTCATTCTGTATCATTCCCTTTACTGAAAAGTAAGTGTTTTAGCTATCACTATATCGACCATTGTACTCTCCATCATAAAAATCTGCTCACAAAATTTCAGAAACCAAATATTTATTTGCACCAAACTCTAAATGACTACAGGTTCCAACTCTGACATTTTTAGTGTCTGCATTTTAGAATGCATACACATAGAGTTGAGATTAGAAAAAAGTTTTACCAGTGAGCAACAAATCTATTAATCCTCCTGGACCTCAAAATCTCAGTGTCTTAATATAAAAAATGCGACAATATCACCTACCCTATTTATCTAGCAGAAGTATTATGAAAATCAAATGAGAAAGAGTATATGAAAATTTTAAACACTACAGAAGTACATTGGTAAGGCTATTGCTTTTTGCTTGGTGTAAAAAGCTTAAATTCAATCATGAGATATGTAAGAATGGAATCTCAGGCAGCAGTCATAGCTTGGGGGAATGATTGGGAGGCAGTAACACTTCATTTCACATGGAAGATTGCCTAACCTACCTACATATAAATGTGACCTAACTATAACCTGATGCTGTGTTTTATAAAAATAATGGAAGGAGTTTCTTTGGCTATAGATTTTAAAATCTTTGTTACTGTAATTAATTAGTATTCCTTCTGGTTAACATACAAAGGGAGATGAGTAGTAGGGCTCCAACTCCCCCCAGTGGGCACCTCACTTACAGGTACTCTGGTGTCAGGGCTGAAACCCAAGGGTGGAGGATGACCCCTCTGGGTATTCCTACCCTTGACTTCTGAAAACTTGGCTTGAGACCTAGGGTCCTGAGCAGGAACAAAGCAGCCCTATGCAACACTGGGATCTGGGTGGTTCACGTTCACTACCTCTTCTGTTCCTTTACTTCTTTCATGTGACACCATCCATGTGGCTCCTGCTCTCCTAAAGGCAATTTTCTGTGACCTCAGTGTTAGGATCCTTGGTTTTCTGATTCCCAAAACACAGCTGCTCTGTAATTCATTAGGTACCCTGACAGTGTGAACTAATATGGTGAGAGATTTTCTTTAATAACTGCTATTCCTCCTTATCTCTAGTCAATATGTGCTTGAGAGCTTACCATTTTTAATCATTCCCAATATATTTTCTTTGATAAGGACTATATTAATTACCTTTCTGTCGCTGGGGCAAAGTACTTGATATACATATATACAATGTGAAGGAGAAAAGTTTTATCTTGACTCATGGTTTCAGCCCATGGTTAGTAGGTTACAAGGTGCAAACATCATGGCAAAGGGCATGGTGGAGGAAAGCTGCTCACTTATGGTAGTCAAGAAGCAAATAGCAAGGGAAACTGCTAATGAGTTTATCCTAATAAACTAGGAAATAAACTATATATAGTCATTCCTTATGTTTCTACTACAATGACCTATATCCATGTTAACTTGTAAAAACTAAACAATAATCTTTTAGGAGAGCAAAATCAAAGTTCCTCTTGCTAAAATCTTTTTTTCATCTATTTTAACCATATTGGGAAAAAATCCTGATGGTTTTGTTATTACTACATGAATCATAAATGAAACTCATTAAATCCCATACTTTGAAATTAAACATAGATTATTTCAGGGACCAAATACAAAGGTTGGACAAAATCACAGCCTGGAACCCTTTAACACTGTCCTCTTGCTTTGGAATAAAAATGAAAAAATCCCAACAAAGTCACTGCAGAGGTGCAGTTCCACATGGACATATGTGGGGATGTAAAAGAAAACTGGCTAAGGGCATCGTATATGGAGAAGGAAAACCTTTGGCTTCTGTTTATGGATTATATGCATATAGTTTGTGGATGTATATCCTTCATCAACTTCAAATAAACATTTTTCATAATAATTTACCAGCTAATTGTCTTCAAAATAAAATCCTGAATGGCAAAATGTGAATTTTTCTTTAAAAATATTTGAATGCTTTTGCATATGGAGTATAATTTTAAACATTAGTTTATTACATCTTTGTATTACTCTAAGAAAGTGGGAAATAATGTCTATGGAGTATATACATTTGATTCCAGCCCTATATAAGGAACTCAGCCTCTAATCCTAATCCCTATTCAGCTGTTTTAAATTCAAATGAATAATGAACTCTACTCTCTTCAATCTAGCAAGATCTAATTAATACCATAGGAGAAAGTGCTGCCTTGGGAGCTGCAGGCATTGTTATCTGGGGAGACATGAATTTAACTTCATCAGAGGTAAGTCAGTACCTTGAGGGTGTGTTTAATGTTTTTTTTTGTAGAGCTCATTTTAATCAAAGTTCTCATGACCATGGTGATAAACCAGCTTTAGAATAAAAGTCCAAATCAGTGCCTGGTACATAAACTGGGCTCAGTAAATACTATTAACTTTTGTAAACATACAGTAGTATATAATCTTGATATTGACATTTGTTGGATATTTATTATGTGCTAAAAGTGTAGCTAAGAGATTCTTTGGATTTGTTCACTTACTGGTCATATGGCATACTGACTGTCATGGACATTGATAGATGAAGAGAAAAGACATGAAATCTAATCAGGGTAACAGCTAGTTAGGCTGGTTATGGCAATGACTACAGACAGTATGATGCTGGAGTTCCTGAATTGAACCACTACATGAAATGTGTGTATCCTATTTTAGGAAGTAGACACAGATGGTAAGTTTTTAATCATCATATTGAAATTGTTTTTTCTCTACAGATAAATCAGCTGAAAATTAATAGCATTTAAAATAAGATTTAAATGTCTCTTCAAATTTCTCCCAGCTGAGATACTATTTACTCCATGAAATCCTCCTAGCTTCCCCAAATTGCATTAATCATAATCTCTTATGTATTTCCAAATGTTGTTTGTTTATATCACTATACACTACCTTTTGCCTTGAATTATACTTGTATTCTCAACACTTTTGGTGGAACTGAATTTTTTTCCCAAGTCCATGATGATCTGACAATACTCTTAGAATTTCACAAGCTCAATTTATTGCTGCAGGGACATTGTTCATGAAAATTTTTCTATCTAGTGAATAGTAGATAGAAACTAAGAGGTTTAATTTCTTACCTTCTAGTTGTAATATTTCCAACAGAGCCCCTGTGTGGCCTCAGCATGCAGTTGCATACACAAGCCAAGGTAGCCTCTGTTTAGAAGACAATAGAAACCACACACAGAAAAATTACCTAATCAGTCCTACAAGCTTGCTTGTGTTTGAGTTTATACATAAAAGTGTAGAACCCACAATAATTGATGTTGAAGCATAATTAACAGGAACATCCTGAAGTCTACCAATTGATGTTTTACAATAAGCAGCGAAATATGATGATTCACATTCTAACACAACCATGAGAGGCATCACAGTTCTGCAAGTTCTGCCCAAGAACAGTAATTATGGCATGATTTCTAATTTGTGTTTTTTCTTTTCCTTTTCACAACCATTAATTTTAGAGTTAGAAGAAGGGAGGAAAAGGGTGTAAATTGGCGGAAGGGGAGGTCTCCTGTCACTCTAGGGGCCACTTGAAAGTTCAGTTCTCTGTCCAACTATGACATGACTTCATCTCCTGTCCCTTGGACCTCTTTCATTTCTGATCTGAGACCCTGTGTTATAACACACATGAGCCTCTGAGTTCACCAACTAGAACCAAGCCACCAAGGTTTCAGTTAAGTCCAAAGTGCTGCCTCGTGGGTCCAAAAGCTTTAACCATGTCAGTTCTGGAAGCATGCTATAATCCGTTTCTTTTTACATTTCTAGGAGAACTGCACCAAGGTGAATCAGTTTTTGAGCTCTGATTTTGGGAGCTACATAGTCAACATGAGCACAGCAGCTGAGGTGTGCAGCCTTTATCTCTGCAGGAATAATGGGAGATGCATACGGAAGACATGGAATGCTTCAGATTACCTCTACTTGAATAATGAAAGCTACCACATAGAGATATCTGAGGATGGAGAATTTTCTGTGAAGGGCAATGTGACTGATGCAGACCTGGCCATGATGAGAGAAAAATTTTTCTGTCATTGTTACCAAGGATATGAAGGGGCTGACTGTCGAGAAATAAAAGAAGCTGATGGAAGTGCTGGACTTTCCTCCTGTTCTGGTTCACCAATGACACTATGTTTGCTATCTTTAGCAAGCTACCAAAACATTCAGGTGGGAGCTCATTAAGTTTAAAGGAAATTATGCAGCCTTTAAAGTAGACTGCTAGTGAGGAGATGAAATTTAAAACATTTTTTTCTCTTATGAGAGGTATTATAAGCAGATATTATGGATATTATTTAACATAAATAGCAACCTTTTACTTTACCATTCATTTGGTTAGAAATCAGACCCAGGAATACAAATTAGCATACTCCTTTTCCTTACTGAATATTTAAGTTGTATTTAAAATAAAGCTAATATATTTCAATCTTTTCATGAATGTACCTACACAAATGTGTACGTATAAACATTTTTATTAATTTCAAAGTCTGTTTTTCCAGATAGCAATTTATTCAAGGATAAGTTACTAAGTAATGATATGATTCAACCAAGTCACTTCAAGGCATGACCTGGTTAATTGGTTGAACAAAAGGAACAAATACAGAGTTTGCAATTCAGCCTCAGGTCTACCCTAAGCTTCTGCTTCCACCTGTACTCACTAAGTACAGAATCATTCCTGATGAGTATTCTCATGAGGGGGCAGGGACTGAGGAAAGGGGACCTGTTCCTTGCTTATAACAAAAGTATCTATTCAATATGCTGCCTCTTCACTTCACATGGCCCTTTCTCATACAGACCCTGGCCATCTGAATGTTTTACTTTGAGATAATAGTCTTATCTTTCTAGGCTGACAGTGCTTTAGATCTAAAAGCTGAAGCCATGTTAATAAAACTGCATTTGGTGACTTTTGCAAGCAAAAATTACTGTTGAAAAAAGCTTTAATAAATGATATCTCAGGAACCCAGAAGTGCTGCTGAAAAGGAGGCCTATAAGAAGTTATTTTTTTGCCCCTCCTTTTCCTCCTATATGCGCATTTTAGTAGAGTATTGAGAGTCACTTTGAATTTGATTTAAATAATGGTTTTACTATCTGGTTGTATTTCTCTAGAAGTGTTATTTATATTACCTATTTTGTCATCTGAAATTTGGCAACATAATTCTTACTGTAGTAAATTATTCTGAGGAGTAAATGCAATAAGACATCTCTTGTGTATGTGGGCTTTTAGTACATGTTGTTGATTCACAATAATCTCTTGATCACCAAAGAATGGAACAGCTCAGGATAAAACAGAGTCTTGGTCAATCTTGCCATGTTGTATTTATAATCATTTTTGCATTGTATTGTGCTCTTGAGAGACATG